TACATCACATTTATAAAGGATTGCAGCTTTAACTTGTTTTGCTAGATCTGTTCTCACATGTACATGACCAAATTTCTCTACTGTTCAGTAGGGAAAATGAAGCAGTGGATATAATTGTGTAATGACAGATACGAGAGGAACAGAGAATCCCAGCAATCATTTCCTGCGAGTTGGCCAGCTTCCAGGCTGTCTCAATGGGCACGCTGATGTAAAGGCAAAAGGAGAATAGCTCATTCTGAAGGGTGGTTGTTGGTTGGGGGTTTTTTTCCCTGTCTCATTTTGACTTTGCAGACTAAGGTATTGAAACAATTAGTTGACAACGTGGTGTTAGTTTTCTCACGGTAAATTAAGAAGATTAACCAAATGTGGAAGTGTAGTTTAGCCATAATCAGCAGATTTGAGACTAATACTTTGGCATCCTCTGAGGTTATGTTCATAATATTATTCACATTATTCCTTTATATAATGTGCAAACTTGTCCAGAGTTATCTTGTGCTCAGTGTTTATTCAAAGACAGCATAATTATTTGATTTATTTCTGTTAGTTTTGTAGCACAGAAATGTAGAGGATCACCGTGCTAGCCATTGCGTCACTCCACTTGGCATGTAGTTATTGGCATAGATAAGAGGAACTCTTGTAACAGCCTTAATCTCTTTTTTTATTATTATTATTAATTTTCCTACAGTAAATTGAGTACTGAGACATATTTTACATATTTATGGCAGAAATACACAACTTGACGGGTGGTAGTCAGGGAGCAAAGTAATATAAATATTTGCAGAACATTTCTGCCATAACTTAATGCTTTGCATATGAATCTTTACAAGGATCCTAAGTTAGTTTAAAGGAATGATTCCAGAGGACTACATAGGTCCAGGCATTTTAAGATCTGTGAATGATGATTGTGGAGCATCTCTGGGAGTTTTTGGCTCATCATACAAAAACAGAAGAGAGAAGGAGGAAAAGTTAGCAGGAAAAAGTTAACAAATGCTTTGGGGATGGAGCAGGGAGAAGACACAAGCTTTCCATGTACAAGTCATTCATTTTTGATTGTTGTTTTTCTTTGGCTCACTGCATTTCACTGGAGACATTCACTTAGTGATGTTTGCCGCAGTTTTAAGTTGCTCCTGCAAGCACAGATCTGCTGCTGCTTCAAGCCCCAAAGCAGAGCTGGTGGAAGGGAATGTAGAAACAAGTCTCAGTTACTCCATGCAACATCTGTTGGTTTAATTGAGCTGCAGGAGGTTCAAGCTAAGCTACCAGTTGAGGCACAGAAAGGTCTGAGGGACACGGACACATGGATGTGGGGCATGCAAGCCAGCTGTGCGAGAGAGCAGCAAAGGACAGCACGGACAGTAACTTCTTAAGCTACTATAGGTAGATTTGCTAAGCTACACATGCTGGCACTCTCATTTTCCCTGAAAGTATTACCCCTAAACTATACCAAGTGCATTTTGCTTTCCAGGGGTTGATCCCAAAGTGCAGAGCTGCATCTCAGCCTGTCTGACTGAAATCCAAATCTTCAGTATAAACATGTCATCACTTGTAATTCCTCCTGAAGATTTCAAACTGGCTACACTGAAGTTGCAAGGTCAACACCTTTAGGAGCAAAACACAGCTAGCTGCCTAATCTTTATACGTAAGCCACAGGATATTTTGCTCCTTACTTGCCAATTCAGCCTATTTTAAAAGAGAATCCCACGATTTTAATTTTCTGCTTTGGAACTGACTTCTAAACTGATTCTGTCATAATAAAATACATCTGCATAAATAACAGTGTTTCTACGGGGACTTTCAGTATTAATTTCAGATATCACTTTGCCAGAGAAATTAAGGGGAGAATACTAGTATTGTATTTTCTATGAAAATTTCACAAAAGTGTCATACATTTGTAAAATTTTGAAATGGTAAGCCTGCAAACAAACCTTTTTTTTTTTTTTTTTCTCTCTTTTTTTTCTGAATGGCCATTTAGCTCAAACTTTTCTGAGAAGTACTTGAGGATTTTATGAGTCTTTGTTTATATACCTTTGCAAAAGTATACTGATTGGAAATGCATACTTTATTTGTTTGTCAGTGTTTTACTATATCCCTGATTATGGTGCGAGCTAACTGCTATTTTTAATTGTTGAATGTGTGGATGCTTGCTTATAACTAATCAGCGGACTGAGCAGTGTCTCAGGTAGTCTTTGCTCTCAAACAGAATGCTCCACACAAAGCAAGCAGGTGAAAACAAATACAAGGTGATCTGCCAGAAGGACGGGCCAGATCAATTGATGATGGGCGGGGGTAACTGGCGTCTGTGAAGAGTTATTCCTAAATAACTTTCCTGCTAAAAGAGCAATTGCTAATTGAGTGTTTTTCCCTTACTGTGTTCAGGGGTCGAGAAATGCACCCATCACTCATTAGCCAAAGTCCGAGTCAGCTAGACAGCGTGAAAAAATACCTGGCACTCAGAGCTCACATTTAGCCTCAAAGCCATGCCCTGCCACTCAAGAGGAACAAAATAGTCGTGCACTGTTTGTGACCTTCCTTTAGTTGTAATGTAGTGTCAATCACATTGCTCTTTAATCCTTACCAAATTATAACATGTATCTCTTGTGTTTTAATTTTGCTTCATTCCCCTCCTGGCTTAACCTTTTTACTTCTTTTATTTCTGACAAAAGATGACACTATCTCTCTCAATTATATTCAGTATTTAATCTGAAATTTGTGGTGTTCATGACCTTTTCATTGCTTTTCTTGCTTTTTTGACACTATACCTTTACCCCAGCAATTTTTAGTGTCTGATTTCTTTTCTGGGCTTTTCCCTCCAAAATACTTCTTTCTTTTAATGCCACGTGTTGTATTTCTAATGTATCGCTTCGGTTCTCACTTTCTACCTGCCAAGCAGATGGTTAGACAGAAGGGGAGAATGTCTGTCATGTCCCAGGGCTTGTCATGGTCCCAAGACCTCGCACTGCAAATTGAAGTTCCAACCAAGCTCTGGGTTCTCTCTAACTGCGGGATCTAAGATGTAGCAGCCTCATTCTTCCTGCCTCTATCTTTTGCCTGAGAGAGTTCAATTTGGAAGTTTGTTGAGTTATTCCTTCTTTTATCTGCTCATGTGAGAAGATGAGCTTCTACTCCTTCCTTTAGTTTTGTCATTACTAATAAAATTTGTTCCTTTTTACCAGGTTTCTATTTTGAGTCTTCTTCTCCAGCAGCTTGTTCTGGTTGTCTGTCATAGTTTCCAAGCTGGGGAAGGAGAAGATGCTGAGAAGTTGAAAAGTAATTAGAATGAGAAACTAATGAATTCAGGAGGGTGGCCTTTCTTTAGCTTACACTCAGTTCATATTTGAATTGTTAACTTTGTATGCATTTGGATGGTCATTTGCTTTCAGTTTTAAACAGAAAAATAATAATAATTTCTGTGAATTTGATAACCTCTTAAAGAAGCTTCTGGCTCTTTTTTTTTCAACCAACTTGATTTTCAAAGCCTGGCAACACATGTTCGCACTTGCAGTTTCATCTGTGTCTCTGCGGCTAAAACATTTTGTCTATCTGAGGAGTAAAGTCACTGTATGTTGGTTAAATATGAGCAAATGTAGTGTTGTCTCTCCTGTGCTGGTTGTCACTCCTACCCCTCTCTCTATAGCACAAGCTACTTATGCATGACAGGAAACAGTATGCATTACAGTATGAATAAGTATATGTTGTAAAAGTGCAAAAGACCACACCTTGTTCTTCAAAGCATTTTCAGTTTCTGAGGTATTACTTTATAAAAATCTAGAATCTACAGCCACCATGTGAGGCCAAATAGGCTTCTTCAGCTTTTTTCTTATCTGAGGTTGTTGACCTCAGGAGAGGAGGAGAAGGTTACAGGGTCAAAGTCTTTTCCTCCTTGGAGCTTGCTGCTTGCTGGGAGAGGGTTGGCTGGAAAATAGATGTTTTAGAAAAAGGGTTGAGGGTCATGATTTTAATTCTGTTAGGGAACAGCTGGTTTGAGTTTCTTTCCACTTCTATCTTCCCTCCCTTCCTCACAAATCCATGGAGAGAGAAAAATTTGTTCAGAGGGAAGCAACACAAAAATAAAGGATTGCAGTATTTTCATCTTTAAAAGAGATCATGTTTGTGATAGGACTTCACATTAGGAGAGAGAAGAGGAAATTATTAAAATAATTGAAATCCATTATTGTTACAAGCGTTGAAATGATATTGATCTAGAGTGTCAGAGGTTTATTTGTTTTCCTGGCAAAATTTAAAACATTAATAGTAATGTTCTAGTGGCTTGGTTTTTTTGTGGGTAAACAATACATATTACCAGTTTTAATTTAGAAATGGAAAAAGCTAATTTTGAATGTGCCGTGTTAGTTTGCATAAGTTGCTGAAGAAAGATGGTTTGATTTGGCTATTTCTGTTCAGATTTTCTTCATCTTGGCATGCTGCTTTCATGCACTAAGACCAAAGAGAGAGGAGGAAACTCACAACTCTCAAATGAATGGCAAACTAGGAACAGATTTTTCATCTGCACTCCTCTGAAACACTGGCCTCAGGCTGTGTTGGTGTGTGGCTCAACAGCAATCAGAGGTCATAATTTCATTGGCGGTTAGCATCAGGTTTAATTTTTCTAATATGTTACATTTACCAAAATGTCTGGTTTCAGTTACACTTCTGCACTGACTGAATCAGCTTTGAGCAGCATGATGTTTTAAGGTACCTGAAAGGCTACAAGAACGTTTATGGAACACATATGCTAATTGTTTTTAACCACTTTCCTTTCTAAACACAAAAATGTGTTTTTGAAAAGCCATTTAACAGTAGTAGCTAATGACGGTGTGCATTTATTCTAAGAAATGAGCACAAGGAATAGGTAAAACAGTTGTTTTAACAAGACTGCCATCTACTGATTTCCATAATTAAAAATATTCCTGATGAATAAATTGTTCATAGAGGGTTTTTTATAGCTTTGTTTTCAAGATTTGCAAGACCAAGAAAATTATAAAGTCTTTCTGTCATCTTAGGAATGCGACCAGGTTCACATTGATGACGTGTCCTCAGATGACAACGGTCAAGATTTAAGGTACAGCAGAACTCATTAAGATAAAAAGTTACTTTGCAAATTCCTTCCCGGGAAAAGTGACGGGCTGCTGGAATACTTAGAGTAGCCTGCTCTCTTTTTACCCTCTCCTTCTTTGCAACCCAGCAAACTGAGCAGCTGGTGGTTCAATGTAGCCTGTTGCCTTTTATTAATCTAGGGGTTTTCTTGTGTCTGACTAGCACCTATAACTTCGGAACAGACGGCTTTCCTGCGGCTGCCACCAGCGCGAATTTGTGCCTGGCGACAGGGGTGCGCGGAGGAGTGGACTGGATGCGAAAACTGGCCTTCCGCTACAGACGAGTAAAAGAGATATATAACACCTACAAAAATAACGTTGGAGGCAAGTGACTCTGGAGTACCTAACAAATATTGATTAGGAGTAGTAAATGGGAAGAACTGGTTTCTGTGCCTGTTTTGACGTGCTAGAGTTTAGCGAGCTGTAATTTTGCAGTGTGTAGAAAGTTGTCTCTGAGCTCACAAAAGGGAAGGAAAATGACAGAGCATTGCTTGATATCAGTGAAGACGTGCCCTTATCTACTCCACAGGTCTTCTTGGTCCAGCAAAAAGAGAGGCTTGGTTACAACTAAGAGCAGAAATTGAAGCTTTGACAGATTCTTGGTTAACACTTGCACTGAAAGCACTCACCCTCATTCATTCGAGGTGAGTACACAGAGTATCATGGAAATTCTAGGGTGTCTGCTGATAATCTAGAAGAGACTGCCTGGTCTGGTGGGCAAAATGCTGAACCCAAAGGACCTTGTTCTCATTCCTTGTTTCAGTCTGACCATATCTTACTGTCCTGGGAGGTGGTAAAAAAAACCAGTCTTTTTAAGTAGCAATAATAATAATAATGAGGGGTTCTGATGGGAGGGTTAAAGTTTTCCTGCTGTTGTTTTTTGATATTTTGATTTGTTAAAAAAGGATGGGTTTGTGTTTTCTCTTCCATAGGACAAACTGTGTGAACATTCTTGTAACAACTACTCAGCTAATTCCAGCTCTGGCAAAAGTCTTGTTGTATGGACTAGGGGTAGTATTTCCCATAGAGAATATTTACAGTGCAACTAAAATAGGTAAGCTATTTTTATCATGTTGTGATACATTTAAAGCTGAAATTCTAAAAAAGAAAAAAAAAAAAGAGATTGTGATCTGTGTTTAATTCTGACATGCTTTCACTGTAGCAAATACAGAGATTAGGAATACTTGATGTCATGAAACACTTATGCTAGAGCATCCTAAAAGTGCTTTTCAAATGTTTGCCATGATCCAGCACAGAAAGCTTTATACAGTTCTATTAACACTGATGCAACCTCTGTTAGGAAGAAATATAATTGCCTTTTTTCATCATTTCTCAAAACTGTGGGGCTGTGTAGCAATTAAAAAGGCTTTTTAGTAGGCTGTAAGTACCGAACTCTGGAGTCTTCCCAGAGTAGCAGAAGAAATTCTGTAAAGGTAAGCCCCGGCTCCATTTGTTTTCATGGGCTCTGAAACAAATGTTGGTAAACAATTTACCAGAAGCAAGAATGTTTTGCTGCAGAATGTAATTATTTAAATTCCCTTATACTGACTGTAATAAACTTCAGACAGGCAAATGTTTATTTCTGTTTTCTAGTTCAGTATAAAAGATGTCATTCTGAGTATGTAGAAGTACATCAGACCAGATGGCAATGGTGCTTGTAGTTTTTAATGCGATTATGATATATCTGTTCTGTCTCAGATTTGCTCAAAATTGTGGGCCACAAGAAAACGTTTTTCATATGCTCTTAAGTATCCATAATGCAGGAAGCTCAAATGGCTGAGAAAAAATTGTGGCATATTTTGGTGGGGTTTTAAAAAAAAAAAAAAAATTTGGTTCAGAGTTTTACAAAGACATTTGAAAGCACTACTATAAAAAAATTAAAACTGTTTGCTGGATATAAAAGTAACAGTGTCATCTGTCAAAACTTTATGGTAAATTAAAACTTTGAATTATAATATTTTAAGTACACATTTTAATTAAAACATTTTAGTAAATACTCACTTGTAACTTCACGTAAACAGAACAGAAGGGTATTTTTGGAAAAATATGTTCAGTCACTGTCACAGGAAATCATGAGATTTTTGTAGTATGACACGATTAATAATTTTCAAGCATTGTTTCAACTTTGTATTGGAGGTTTCTTATGCCTGGCACTACTGTTAAAGGATATCATTGAGTATTTTGGCCTCTCTGCTGGCCAGAAAACTTCTTTTTATTTCCAAGCTATTTTTTCTTGGGCTTTCATGGTTCTGTAGCTGAAATAACTATTTTTAAAAACACAATTTTTCCCATCCGTTGCTGCAGGCACACAGGTAAGCATGTAGCATGACCAGACTCAAGTGACCTTTCAGAACAGGGACATCTGAGAAAGCCCAGCTGTAAGCATTTACTTTCTTTCTGGCTTCTCAGTACCAGTACCCGAAGCTTTACAATATGGGTAATGAGTATTGGAAAATGGGAAATTAAGGTTAGCTATTAGGAAGAAGTTCTTTACTGTGAGGGTGATAAGATCCTGGAACAGGTTATCTTAGGGACTTTGAGGATGCCTCATGCCTGGAGAGGTGTTCAAGGCCATGTTCAAGGTGATCAAGGTGTTCAAGGCCTTGGACAACCTGGTGTGGTGGGAGGTGTCCCTGCCCATGACATTTAGCCAGTGGGACTAGATGATCTTTAAGGTCCCTTCCAAGCCTTAACACTGTATGATTCTGTGGTACTTATGTGTACCACATGTGGACCACTAAGGTGGTATCCCTAGGTCTGAGCAGTCAAGGAATGAGCCATATTAATGGATCCCAGTGAAGTATCAAGGATCTTGCCCATGTATTGGATTACAGGCATTTAAATCTAAATCTTTTGGATAGCCTTCTAAGGCAGGATACTACTGTTTTAGGAACTGTGATTAATCTTGTCACAGGTTTTGGAGAAAAATCTAGAATTTCTACTCGGATTCAATCAGTTTGCTCGATCCAGGCTACTGGCTGTATACAAATGGTTGAGAATTCTCCTAGTAGGGAAAATCCCCGCAAAACCTGTCTCAGATTAGGGAATCAGAAAAGAAAGCTGATATTGCAGACCTCTAGAATGCTACGTCTACCATGGCGTTTGTGCTGAAGGACCTCACGGTGTAGATTTTTGGGTTTCCTGTCAGCTGCTGTGGCAGGAGTAAAGCTGCAATCAGCCTTGATACACCTTCCTGTGAGAGAGGCTCTTCTTTCTCAATAGTTCTACTTGAGTATTTAAAGTGTTGGGGACATCCGGGCTAAAAAGTTATTTATTATATCATCCCATCACCACCTACCCTGAATATTCTGATCTTTTTCTTTCAGGAAAGGAAAGCTGTTTTGAGCGAATAATTCAAAGATTTGGAAGGAAAGTAGTGTATGTTGTTATAGGGGATGGTGTCGAAGAAGAACAAGGTGCAAAAAAGGTAATGACCTTTGTTCAGTGCAGGTTGGTTTCAAGAATCTGAAAGCAAAATTGTCTTTTCTTCAGCAGGGGACATTGACATTTAGATTTGCTGTTTTGCCTTATGAAATATGTTTTCACCATATCTAGTAGAAAGCTGCATAAAACTGTAGATAATGATGTGTCCTGCTGTTCTCCAAAAGATAAATGAAGCTAGCAATATACGTTTGATGTATTTCAAAAAGGGGCCAGAAAATGGACCCTGGCTTTTGTGCCAGGAACTAATAGTTCTGTTTTCATTGGCAACCCAAAATACCACATAGGATGTTATGAAAGTAAGCAAAAAATGGCAATTCTTACTGATCAAAGGCAGCTTGCTATTTGACTGTATGAAATATGTATATGTTAAACCTTGAAAAGGTATGTAGGACTGGAGTAGGTACACAGAAATTTCCCTTTTCTTGCATGTCCATAATTTGGATTCTGTGTTGGGGCAACTACCTGTGGCTTGGCATATATTCAAAACCTCAGATAACTGTGCGGAGATTACTATGTGACTGTCTTTATTATTTTTTTCTTTCCTCTGGGAAGAAGGGAAAAATTCCCTTTTTTTTTTTCCCAATGAGGATTAAGTTCCATAGAAAGCAACACTTCCCACTAACAAGTAATAGGCATTATTTTTAGCCTTGCTGTTACATCCAAGGGCAGCAGGTACAGACTCTTCACTTGGAGAAATGAGGTATAATATTGGCTATTTGAATAATAGGAGAAAGAGTAGGAAAATGAGCATTTCTGTTCTTTCCTCCAATCACAGGTAAATTCCTTTTACACAGCTGCTTTTTCACCAGAAAACTCTGTGATACTTCTATATCTCTTGGAGAAGTGAAACTAATTAGTCCACATGGTGTTTTAACAACCATTGGCTGGTTTTGCCTCATGAAATCTGGGTTTTGTGCCCCTTAAGCCTTGTGGGTAGGTTCCTGGCTCAGCCCACCACTTTGCAGAGCCTCAGTTTCATATATCCCTTTGGCAGACTGGTGGGAACAGTTTTCTCCTTTCTCCTTCAGAAATGCCTTTCATCTTTGCGGAGAAATGTTTTCCCGCTGTAAATGATTACATTTTAAAAGCTGTGTTTAAGATCGGGGTAAAAAAATTCCTTCCCTTTGTTCCTTTTCTGTTGCTCGGTGAAGTAGTGTTGTATATGATAATGGCAGGAGTAGTCCTTTCGGTAACATTATCTATTTCAATGCTTTTTTCAACAGGAAACACGATTCAGGAAAGCATAGGAAAAAGCCTTTCCAGTCACTAAGAGGAGTAGCAGTATAGAAAGTTCCTTTGTGCCATTACTTCTGTGTATTCTTTCTTGGAGGAAGGAATTTTCAGGTTGAAAGCATGTTAGGTGCTCTGGATTAAATTATCTGCTGCAGAATACCAGAGAAGTCAATAAGTAGACCAGCAACCCTGCCTTTCTGCATAAACTATTAATTTGATAAAGGAAAATGCTTCTGTGATTCTTGTTCTGCCTGTTACTCCACCAAAAAAGAAATCACCATTTCACACTGTGAAAACAGAATTTGCCTCTTAAGCCTTGGCCCTCACATCCTGCAAGAGCAGAAACCACCCACTGCCTTGTGGTATGAGGAGCTGCTTCCAACTCAGATGAAGTCTTTTCTGAGTTATCTGCTCCTCAGGTTGTCTTTAAGGTTACATGGGAATGCACCCTAATGTGTACTGTGCTTCAGGCTAAAGGCATGGGCTCTGTCTAAGGAATAAATGATATAGTTATACGAGAAAACAGTAAAAGCCTAGACCTTCTCTGGAGAGTATGCAAATAAAACAAAAGTTTTACCTCCACAGAACCACCCAAAGCACATCAATCCAAAGTGGCATAACAGTCCTGTGATGTACCCCATTACGGTGCTTATGCGCTGAACTTTGGTAGCTGGTTCCTTCCTGCCTTCCTTCCTATCAGCATGTTGCTTTTTGTGGTTGGTATTCTTAGGTCAGGGACAGGTTTTCTGTCACCCCTTTGCGCAGCAGTTTGCTGGAGGGGCTTGGCCTGTGGTGAAGCTGTTAGTATGCTTGTTTACACTACTTAGAGTGTAAACAGTACACCCTTCTTTAAATAGCACTTCTTTGCTTACATGTAAACTATAATATCTTTTCCAGTCTTTTAAAGTGAGCATATAAATTCAAACCTATTTCAGTTGAGAGATTTTTTAATTCTGAATTCATTTAGTGAAAAAAAAATGAACTTTCAGGTTAGGAGGTAAGAAAGATAAAGTTTGTTATTAAAAATAATTTACCAATAATTTATCAATTGCTTCATAAAAAAAAGATTTGCATTTGTGTCCTTCATTTACAGAAAATTCTGAATCACTACAACAATAGGAAAAATAAAGGACATATTTAATTTTTTTTATTATTTTCATTTTTATAAAATGAAAATTTTATTTTCACTTTTATTTTTACTTTTCTTTCAGTAATAGAAACTTTTTAATACTATTTAAAAGATAATTGCTCTTTTGAGAAACATTTCCAGGATAAACTGTTCATAAAAATGCCTCTTTTGACTGATGTAAGTAAATACAATGCACTGAGAAAACAGCGCACTCTTTCATTTCTCGTAACACTGGTCAAGCCCTGGCATCAACACCTTTTGTTTAGCTACCACTTCCAACAAAATATTTTGTGAGACAATTAAAATTCTACGGGCGCTTATGTTGCAGATTGAGGAATAATCATACCCTTCTGGATCAGTGCAGCAACCAACCAGCCTGGCTGTAACAACAGGGTTCACGTGGAGGCTGCTGCCTTCGTACCAGCTTCCCCAGGGAAAGAGGGAGAGGAAGGCAGAGAGAAATCAGTGTGAGAGCCAAGGGGTGCTCAGGAGCTGCTGGCACAAGTGCAGGTGCCTTGTGGTTCAGAGCCGACTGCAATGACAGACCTATTTGCAGAAAAAGTTTCTAGGGTTTTCTGCCAGAGACTCCATTGCCTTGGCTTTGCTTTGTTTCGTGTTTTGGTTTTGGAGGGTTTTGTTTGGTTTGGTTTTGTTGGGTTTTGTTCTGTTTGAGCTCATCTTTTGACTCTGCTTTTGGAGACATGTAAAGGAAGTACTCATAAGGCAGAAAAACCCCCCAGCTCCTGAGTTTTTCTACTTAGGAGAATCCTCCAAAGGACTTCAAATTTGTGAGAAGAGACAAAGGAGGAGGCTCTCTGCACTGAGGAGCTGGATTTTACATCAGGTGGTTCGGGAGAGCCTGGGCAACTGGACTTCTCCCTTTGTCTTCAAAATGGTCATGCTGCCTCAGAGGGAAATCGTGAGGAAAAATCATAAATCTTCGTGGAGCAATAAATAGAATATAAATGGGTATCCAATATGTCACTGCTTTTAAGCTCACAGTCACACTGTGCTCGTCAGGTTTGGGGTAGGAAATAAAGACAGCCGCTTAGCAAATCTGGCAGGAATACAACAAAAATACTGTGAGAGATGACAAAAACTGATGAGTTTTCTATTCAAATCCATCACAAATCTCAGGAGTAAGGTTTTTGTGTAAATATGTATTCGTTTAAGGGAAGGAAGATAGTGTGCACTTTTTGGTGTTGCTGTCAAAAACTGGATTTGTTTTGTATGTGTATTAATAGAAACACCTCACTTTGTGGAGTAAAATAGCTGTAGTTGTGTTCTTTCAGTAGGTATATGCTGGAAAATAATATTACTTCTATTTCAGAAATAAAATAACTTAGTATTCTACACTATTTAATAATTTTATAATTATTAGGTTTGCTAAATTAATAATTTCACTTTTCATACTTTTTACATCAAAACCAAATTCAAACTTTTGCCACTATATTTAATTTCAAAATATCATCAAAATTAAATAATGAAAAAAAATTCATAAATGTTTTATTACTAAGTATCATCTACAAAACAATATATCTTTTTATAAAAGACACAACTTCATATTTACTTGGAAGATACTGAAGCGGTACATAAAATCATTGTTTTACTATGAGTCTAGATGCATATTCTTTCAATATGCAATATGAAAAGCTCTTACAGTTGCATTGCATACTAAAGCATCTGGTTTCACCACCTATTTACTAGAAGTTAACATTTTTAATCCATTCTTCCACAGCAGCAAATGAGATATTATCATTTCTCAGTTTGCTTAGAATAGAAGACACATGTTCTATATGACATGTGGGCTAAATGTTGGCAGAGATGGCTTTTTAGTGGCATTATTTAGTAAATATATATACAAAGAATCTCTTGCCCAGTCATTTGGTGAGAAAAAATATACCTCTGTCTCCTGGGTGTGTTGCTACTTTCAGCAAGGCTGAATAGCTGTGAATAAATGGGACATGCTAATACAGGAATACTACGTACTGTTTTGTGGGATAATTTTTGTTACTTAATGGTTTTCATGTTGTAAAATCATTTATTATCTTAGATAAGCTGAAAATTAGTGTACATGCCTCACGAAAACGTGTGTTTAGGAACACATATGTGCACGAGACTCTCAATATATATATACACACACAAACATATCAATATATATACATCTGTATCAGATTTGTTTTCCCTCCTCATAGCTATGAAGGCTGTGCTGTAGGGACAGACTGAGAGAAATCTGGATTGCCACGTTTGGCCATGCAGAGAGTGTCTGTGCACATTCCAGCCCCATGCAGCCACCATGTTCCTGGTGTGCTTTATTCCTTGGGAGTGTGAGGCTGGTCTTTTGGCCTTTAGGCAGGAGAACTGAGTTATAATCCTGAGGTTTACATGACCACTTTTTTTCACAGAACTCCCTAGTATCGTTCCACACTTCACTCCTATAACTACATGGAGTAAATAGAGGTATACTCCTTTCACAAAAAGACAGAAATAAAACAGAGGACACTTAATTGAATTTGAAGTATAGAGATATAGGTAAAATAATGACTACTTGCAGTATTGGTTTAAAATCTGACCATCAACAGCTGACCCATAAACAGGGTAATCCAAAACTCGATATTGCACAAGGGCATCTAGTGAGAGTTACTGTAATTTGATTTAGCAGAAGCTAAACCTTCTGTTAAATCAATCAGAGCTTTAACTGCTCAAGCTGCCTGGTGTGTGTACGCTCTGTGATGCTGAGACTGTTACTAGGGAAGCAGTATAATTCTGGAGCTGCATGAAGTGGGAGCCGGAAGCCAAGAATTTATTAGTACAGTCCTCCGCGTTCATTGGTTTGCTGTATGACCTTGGAGAGTGTCCGTGTCATTGGCTCTTGGCTTCTGCAGAGACACTAAGCAAAGGCAGGTGTCCACCAAGCTCTTTGCCACGCCACATCATAGGTATACTATTTACACCTCCCTGACCCAGTGGTTGAGGCAGAACAGGTACCGAGCTGACTAAGAGGAGCAGGGAGTTATGGCTGGCTGTCAGGGAGAGCAGATGGGTCTTACCTGGACAGGGTTTGTGAGGCAAGAGGGAAGCTGCAATCTCACAAGAAGAGGAGGCGGCGCTGCTGAGCATTGCCAACTCGTGCAGTCAGCCGGCAAACACAGCACGGACCTGCTGCAAGCACAAACCTGTGATCCTTTGTCCTTGATGTAGTACCCCTATCAGAGATTTAAAATTCTACCAAGAAGATCTTGCAGCCTAAGTAAGAGATAAATGCACAGAAGTTTTTGCAAAGTACAGAGAATGGCATGATTAGTAATCTTTACTTTGTTTTGCTCTTGCTGGTTCATTTCCTGAACATGGTGTGAGAAATTAATCTTTGGGAAATATCTGAGTTGGAAAGAAGCAGTGTTTGACGTAAAAGAACACAGAGGCTGTCTTTATGATGTAACAGGGAAGACATTGGGATGTGGAGTTGTAACTGAGTGAACAAATTTCATCTATTGCAACAAATTGCAAGGGAAACGTTGCTGGTGGAGCATAGAGACATACAGTGGAAGTCTAGATTGCAGATGTAGAAAAAGCAGGTGTCATAGTGTTTAACACTTCCTTCTTAAGGAAAGGATTTGTCTATAAAAGTGTTTTGGTGTAGTTTTGTTCCTTAAGATATTTCTTTGCTCTAGAAGCTAGGCATACTGTGAATGTAGGCATTGGTTGATGCATCCATATTACATCTTCATTCAGATCAGGAGTGTCATATCAAAACAGACCTTTCAGTCATTCCCCCTCACTATGCTTGGATTAATATCACAGACTGGGTTTACGGGGAAAAAAAACCACCAAAAACCAGATTTCTTTTGGATGGAACTAAAGAAACAATGTATTGTCCAGGTGCTCAGCAAATGCTCTCCAACTACTAATGGACCCTTTTTCTGTGATGGCAAACTGGAACTAACCTGAAGTGAACACCCTAAAACATGGGCGCTGGGTGCTCAGTGCCACCTCCTTCACTCTCCAGTCCCTCTAATTGTGCAGCTGTGCTTGCTAATGCTTGTTCTACACTGGGAGCACATTTTCCAGATTCCTTACAGTGCTCTCTTGCTGATCTTATATGCTCTTTAGTCTTACTCATTAATATTAATTACTTCAGTATTATCTTCTCTGACTCTTGAAAGAGTAACAGTTGATTGTTCTTTTAACAGTTGCTGTTTGATTTCAGAGACTTGACACTTTTTTTTTTGTTCCTTTTAAAAATCTTTATTTTATAAGTTCAGCCCAGTTAATCATCATCATCTGGATTGAAGCAGCATTCTTCTAAAAATAATTATGTATACACTGACAGACAGAAGTTCACCGGAGCTTCTTAAGACAAATTTGTGATAGGCCCTGTGTTAAGGTGTTTGCCTTCTGAGATAGGTTTAAAAATTACAGGGTTTGCACTAAACCTGCAGCTGGAAACAGAGAGTTTAACGTTGTTTTCAAAATTATTCTCTAACTTAAAATCTGAGAAGACCTGAATGAAAAAAAAGAGGTCAGTGTAGAAGTGCCAAACAGGAGATGGACTTTTGCCACTGATTTCACTGGAATTAGGAATTTACTCAGAAGGTGCTGAAGTAGGACAAAGAAAGCCTCTTTGAGAAGTTGTAGATAAAATGCCTGGGAAACTTAGAAGCTATTGTGATAATAAATGGATTGTGGTTTGCTTCCTTAAGATGCCAGGACACAAACTGACCTAGTGAAAAGGTGAACAAGATCATGTTAGCTTTCAGAATACTGTCGAATTGAAACTATTTTCCCATGGGATTTATCAGATATTTTCCTGACAAAAGCTGATGGTTATCTTTTTTTTTTTTTTTTTAATTTATGCAAAAGTTCTTGTTGATGCTATAATCCCTGGTTTAGAGTATAAAGATAGTTCTTACTCAGATTTTTACCCTTCAGGATGAGACAATCTGTGCTTTTTCCTGGTATTTGTGCTTTTGGTTTATTCAGGTTCTTAGCAAAAGTATTTGTGCTCCAGACAGATTTTATTACAACTAATAGGAAAAAAATATGTATTTATTTTAATGCCCCATATGGAAAAGGTGTTTTAAGATCAGTGCAAACAATGAGCAATGTTACACAAACCCCTGGGATGAAATTCTTTTCGAAGTGACATGAACAACAAGAGTTATTCTGAGTCACCATGTCTCTGTTTTTAACTCACCTGCCAGTGGTAGTTCCGCAAGCAGCAAAATCAGTTTGATAGTAAATAATACGTTCACTTCCTTTTTTTTTTTTTTTTTTTTTAAATCAAGTTCTGTTTCCTTCTTCAAACTACTCACATACTTCATGTATATGTTGTTTTTCTTATTTTTTTCCTGAAGTAATATTTTCTGCAGCGTGCTGAAATTTGTTTTTCATATAAAGAGATTGGAAGCCCCTCCCTTCCTTATGATTTCCTGACATGTTTGCCATAGTTCCTATCATAAATAGATTTATTATTATTAAGAATTTATGCTTAGGGGGTAGAAAGAAACTAGAGATAACCATGAAGGGCTCAAGGTTTTAGGAGCTCTTTTCCTCTTCCTGAAGTGTTCCCTTATCCTTGTGAAAGACAATGGGTGGGTCTAAATACCAAAATGCTTGGAGTTATTTTTACATGTTGTCTGTGCTGTTCACAGCATGCTATGCCATTTTGGAGGATTTCGAGCCACTCTGACCTTATGGCCCTTCACCATGCCTTGGAACTGGAGTACTTGTAGCAGCTCAGCAGCACTTTCAAACCTCAGAGCCTCCTTCTGCCCGTGGATGGGATGCCTGTGTCTTGTGTCAGAATTGGACTACAGAACTGAGTGATTTCAACATGTTGACGTACAGCTGCAATTGGTCTTAACCCTTGCCCTTTCAGTAAATGGAGGAGCATGTCTTTTTCTTCAGAACAGCTGTTGGCTCTGGCACTGCGAGTCCAACGAAAATAAGCCATGCGAGTGTTTGAACAACTCACCTTTACCGTATTGCTACCAAAAAGGAATAGAGAAGGAAAAAGGAAAAATTAAAATAAAATAAAAAAAAAAAAAAAAAAAAAAAAAAAAAAAAAAAAAAAAAAAAAAAAAAAAAAAAAAAAAAAAAAAAAGGAAAGGAAAAAAAGGTTCATACCTGTGAAGAAAAAAAAAAAAAGGACCTGCAAATGCTTTGTAGTTTGTAGCCTCTTCAATGTGACACACCCCATTTCTTCAACACAGCAAACTTGATTGCACAATGAAGACTGAGATTTTGCAAAATACCGGTGGAGTAATTTTCTTGTAAAGAAGGTTTACTTTTTGGTTTCTCATACCCAGGGTACTCTGTACATCTTTAATTATTTATGAACAGACTATATTTTGACATCATATAACTGAGGATATGTATAATAGGATTAAAGGCTATTGTAAGCCTTTGCCTTTATGGTACAGCAACTACTTTTGATTTTAGCACATTACAGAGTAGTTTAAAATATGTCTAATTTAAACTAATAGGTACATCACTGAGACAATCATGTACAGGAAGACTTTTTTGTGTAAATTTGTAATAATGAATGATTCTTTTACATATTGTTAAGGTAAATGCTATTGAAAGATAGTAATGCCTTGTTGGTGAAGAATGAGGCCAGGTGTGCACAAACTTGTGCAGTGCCTTATCAATGTGTTGGATATAAATATGTAGATAATGGATTTTTTTTAGATAAATTTGTCAAGACCAAAAGCATGGATGTCAAGTGTCAATAGGAATTGGGTTTTGTTCTCAGCTGTTTCTCTACCATTTTCTTCTTTCACTCACTCTGATTATGAGAAGATTGATTTCGTGTGTCCCCCCCCCATCGAAGGAAATACAGATAAAACACAACTGAAGAGGAGTCCTTTGCTGTCTTTTTGTTTCCTCTTTTAAGGTTAACATATTAACCCTTTTTTAGAGTACTGAAAAATTAATTAGGAGAGTCATTCCATAAAGAAATAGAGAAGAAACAAAAATATATTTTAAGATGTAACTTAAACTGGAATCATGGTACCAAATAGTTTTTGTCTCATCCAAAAATGAAGGAAAATATTGTCCTCAATATTTTTAGAAATTAGAAATGAGAATATTTTGGAGAAATTGAACAAGAAAGCTCATGTACATTTAAGATTTTTAATCCTCTTCCACCAGGAGTCAGATTTTCCTAAGATATACCATCCATTGCTGGCAATGGAAATGCTGAAATAGTTATCGCCAAGGAGTTAAAATTTGCTTTTGTCTGTACTCACTTACAGGACAAACCTAGACTGTGTCTGTCTGTGACTTGTGACTTTTCTAATCTTGAAGGCTATGATCTACTTGGTTAGATAAACTATTAGTCTGATTTTTTGACCTGAATTATACCAAATCCCTTTGCCCAGTTTAAATATCATATTAAAAAGAAGCCTCAGCTTTGTTGGTTCATTTTCCAGCTTTTCTTTTTGTTTTGTATTGCAAAAAAAACACCAGCCTCAAAACAGCTACCTGCAAAGCTACAAAGCACCGATGTAGCTACAAATCAACACCCTTCTCTATTGGAGGAATCATATTGCTGCTAGAACTCAAAGTCTGTGGATTGCTCTATTACCAACAGACAGGTTTTTATCCTACCAAGACTTTCACCTGTGCTTTACTTTACCCAGTATGTGTTGCAACTCATGCAGTACTCACATATGTACATAAAGCACATTGTGGATAGTTTTTAGAATTGAGACTTTAATTAGCCTTTTTTTCCTCAAGCAAAGTAGACAGTGATGGGGGGGGGTTGGTTGTCTTTTTTTTTTTTTTTTTTTTTTTTTTTTTTTTTTTTTTTTTTTTTTTTTTTTTTTTTTTTTTTTTTTTTTTTTTTTTTTTTTTTTTTTTTTTTTTTTTTTTTTTTTTTTTTTTTTTTTTTTTTTTTTTTTTTTTTTTTTTTTTTTTTGGCTCTTTTCAATTTTTAGTCACTAGTGGACTGAAAAGACAAAGTTTATCTGGGCCTTATTGTACAAAAAGTGTGTTGTGTCCACAATCGTGTACAGAATTTTTCTTCATTAATTTTGTTTTAAATTAATAAAATTGATTTGTGAACGTATTAAACAATTGTCTGGTATGCAAGTCTGTGATATTTCTGTCTGCTATGTCGGGAATGAGGAGACATCCCTCA